TACTCACGTCAGCTCTCTTTCCTCCCCGAGGTTCCTGCCACGTGAGGACAGTGCAGTGTAATGTTACCTGGTGTTGGACAGACCTTGTTTAACTCTTGACCATTCCACCACCTTGCTGTGTGCCCTTGATGAAGTAGCTTAACCTCTCTGAGCTTGCTTCTCCACCTGAAAAATGAGGGTTGTTGAGAAAACAAAGTGATGTATCTAAATGTGACATATTTGAAGTAATGAGCACCTAGTGAGTGCCTGGTCACCCATTGCTTTCTGGCCAAAGTACTACATTTATTTCCCTACTTGTTGTCTTAAACAATCCTTCCCTCAAACTCCATACAAATCAAAACATAGACTGTCAGTGTAAAATCAGACATTTATTTACCCCAAATAGAATACTTTTCTTCTTTATAGAACGTGATCTGTTTTCTTTCTGTCAAAGTGTGCTCTTCTCCCAAACACTTTCTGTTTGTCTTTTAAGACATGAATATTTCTCTCCTTAATTACTTTAGAATTATATTGTTGGAAGTTTTCATGAGCAATGTCTTGCAAACCTTAAATTATCCATTAAGAATACTGTAAACTCCATCCAAGTTAGAGGTGTGTAACTCTGACTGTCTAGGATTTTCCCCAGTTGGTAACATTGAGATCTTGCATTAGTGTTGAACTTTGTCATTCTGTATCAAAGGGTATAAATTTCCATTGTTGACGCCCATTCAATTGTCTTCCCAGGTGCCCAGGAAAAGACAAACTTGGAAGTCATTATTCTAGTGGGCACTGCAGTGCTTGCCATGTTCTTCTGGCTACTTCTTGTCATCATTCTACGGACCGTTAAGCGGGTAACAAAATAGTTTCCCTTCTGTCCCATGCACGTTGGCTTTCATGATTAATGAAAGCTGACTAGGGTTCTTTGGGTTGGTTCTTCCCATTGTTGTTGGCTCAATAGGCACAATTTTATTTCTATACAATAACATTCTTGCCCACTTTCTTTTGCCTGGACCACTGGGCTTTAATTGATAGAAGCAACTAGAGAAGAAATGGGCTTGGACTGTCTAGTGTAATTAGGATTTAAGAATTTAATTCTGAGCTCATTTAGGGGTTGAGGGGACACTGGAAGCGGGATGATAATAGGACTACTCTCAGCCTCCATGAGCCGTTTAGAAAATGAGACATTAAGAATGGGGCTTCTATAAACAACAATAACAAGCACACAAAAACAACAGCCAAACAAGAGGCTGTGTGTGACTGGAAGGAGTAATGCTTTCCAGGCCAATGGAGGCGAACTGAAGACGGGCTACTTGTCCATCGTCATGGATCCAGATGAACTCCCGTTGGACGAACACTGTGAACGCCTCCCTTATGATGCCAGCAAATGGGAATTCCCCAGAGACCGGCTGAAACTAGGTGTGTTTTCAAGGGATATTAATTTGATACTGGGTTTACCAGGCCATCTCTTCTACTTTTAGGATGGTGACAAATCTAGTCTATTTAAATGTCAGATTCCGATTCAGAAATATTCATTCCATCTCTTGATTTTGAGTGATTATCCAGTTAGTCACTTAGAAGTAGGAGCCCTGTATAATCACCCATTTTGGAGAGTGAAGAGGGAGGTATTAAATCATTCAGCCGGGACAAGGGTGTCAGCTGGACCGTCCATGTTAAACTGGGATGTATGTCACCTTGTCAAGCTGGAATCTCTGCCTGTCACCTTGGTGGTGAAATAGTCCAAGTCTGTTTTGTTGTTCCTGTCTTTGTTGACTCTAGGTAAGCCTCTTGGCCGTGGTGCCTTTGGCCAAGTGATTGAAGCAGATGCCTTTGGAATTGACAAGACAGCAACTTGCAAGACAGTGGCTGTCAAAATGTTGAAAGGTAAAAACAAATTTATATGGTGATATATCCCTCTATCTGTTTCACCCCATCTCTAAACATAATGAAAGATTTATGTCAGTGGCTCTGTGGCTAGGTGGGCCCACTAGCCAAGCATGCAGCCACATTGTATGTTGCTGTTGTGCAAACTGGATAAAAAATTCCTCTTTTATAGCCTCATGCCAGGGTCCACAGCCTGGCAAGCAAAGTTGAGAATGGATTTCAGCTCCTCTACTGCCCCACCTTGCCTGGGATCCCTTGTGCAAGACACAGATTGAACAACTGTATTTAGTGGCCTGGCTATAGGCAAAAAAAATACCTTGATTTCATCAAAATTGTTTCTTAGCATACTATGGTACATTAGTAGGATAATTATAGACCATCAGGAAACAGAAAAATAAATTTGATATAATAAATAAAAATAGTAGCACACACACACACACACAAAAACCAGCATGTTCCCTAGAATTGGAACATGTAAAAGAGGATCACATATAAAAGATAATATGCAAACTAAGAATGGTTGTGCTGGGAAAAAAGATTATGGGTGACATTTTGAATTTAAAAGTTGCATAAACAACTGTTAAACCTAACAGTAATGGAATTCTGGTCTTGCCATTTTACTCTGGGGAGGTGATGCGTATAAAGCTCTTTGCTAGAATTGTGACGTGCTTTCATTGGTGGACACAGTGCTACTGACCCTTTGCCAGGAGTCATGTGCCTTTTGAAGCCATCTCTCTCCTTTTGCTTCCTCTCCCTTGTGGCTGAGGGGGGTATGTAATTTTGAGGTGGCTCATCAAAGCCTGGGGTGTGGACCATGTCTGTGAATTAGAGGGAAGTGTACCACTCTGTGTAGGATCAAACTCACACTCAGCCTCATGAGCCTCATGTGCCAGCTGGCAAAGCCCTTGTTAAGTTTCCTGCTCAGCCCAGATTGGTGGGAACTTCAGCAGAGCCCCTAACATGTGAGGGAATTTAATACATGCTTATGAGGAAGCACTGAAATAATCAGGAGCTAAGAAGCACAGTCAACCTGGTATGTGAAAATCCGGTTTTGTAAAAGAAAATCTGAGCATGATTTCATCTGCAGATGTGTTCTCCACTTTGTAAAAGACCTCATGATGGCTTCCTTCAAGTAGCAGACATTCTGGGGGCACGTAGAGTAAGAATCTGATTTAGAATTAGAAAGTATAATTTATATTTGCATTTTAATGTACCTAGTCTGTAAACTGGGTTACAGTGGTATTACCTCTGGAGGGGACATTGCAGAGATGCAGGCAGTGGGGCATCATCCTGCTAAGGTCAAGCCCACATGTGTGATTTCCCTCTTTGTTCTGTATTTGTAGAAGGAGCAACACACAGCGAACATCGAGCCCTCATGTCGGAACTCAAGATCCTCATTCACATTGGCCACCACCTCAATGTGGTCAACCTTCTCGGCGCCTGTACTAAGCCAGGGGGTGAGTGTCTGTGGATGGTTCTGGTTGCCTGGTTTTGGCGTCCACTTCTCTGTTGGTATTTGAGGGAAACCACCCAACTCCCATGGTCTTCATTCCCTTCACTTAGGATACTTTGGCAGATTCCTGGATATAAGCATATTTCATGGAGGTTTAAGGGGTGCTGTAAATTATTCTAGAACTTCCTGTGAATTAAAAAAAACGCTACATCACTATAATACAGTTGTCTACTTTTGGAATAGGTGTTCAGATGAGAAAAGAGAACTTCCCCTTAAATTTGAAAGCAAAAGACTTGAAGAGTAGTTCACTCTAAAATGGAGTCATCTTAGGGGATTGTGTTGAAAAGCAAGTGGGTGGATTTTCTTCTGAAATGTTGGTTAATCTTGTTGTGGAATCACCTTTTGGAAAAAGAAAAGCTACAACAGAAAGGGAATTGCAACCAGCTGATTTCTCTGATCCTATTTCCAGGGAAAGGTTGTAGCCTCTTCTATGATTATTTTCTGGCTCATTGATGTATTAAGCACTTGATGAGAAACATGAGTGAAAACACATTTTCACTTCTTGGCACACTGTACTGTCCGCAGGGCCACTCATGGTGATTGTGGAATTCTGCAAGTTTGGAAACCTGTCAACTTACTTAAGGAGCAAGAGAAATGAATTTGTTCCCTACAAGGTATGTCATTTCCTAACTCAACTGTGGCCACATTGTACACATGGAGGAGAACTCAAAAGTCGTCCAGGTTAATTTTTTCATTAAAATTCTGTGAAGAACTTGTGAGGAATCTTTTCACATCACCTCTTGGCTGTTGTCACATCCTCTTTTACCTTCTGGAGGACATGTACTTCTCATGTGTTATCTTTGTGACTCTAATCTCCTGACCCGTTGTGGATGATGCCTAAGGAGGGGGAAGGTGGGTGTGATTAAGGGACAGGAATGACAGGGGAAGGGCAGCTCTGGGTTGTTCTGTCTCTACCCTGGCCATATTTGGCCCTATGGAGTGTTAATCCCTCTCTCAAAAGCGGCCTAATGTTGGAAGTGTGTCTGAGTGAAACTTGAAACAAGGCCCTTAGCTCTTCAAGCTAAAAAGGAACCAGGCTTTAGGGAAGAAAATCTACTACGTAGAACACTTACCAAAATTTCAGCCCAGAGGTTCCATGGTCTTGAACTTTATGTCCCACTTGTCTTCTTTTAATAGTTATAATTGTTTGTATAGTTTACTACATTTTAGAGATTTTTCTGATATTCAAGGAGTTTGCTCATTTGCTTCGTTTTAGAGTAAAGGGGCACGGTTCCGGCAAGGGAAAGAGTACGTTGGGGAAATCACCATGGACCCTAAACGCCGCCTGGACAGCATCACCAGTAGCCAGAGCTCAGCCAGCTCCGGATTTGTTGAGGAGAAGTCCCTCAGTGATGTGGAGGAAGAAGAAGGTACCTGCCACTGCTTCTTCCACACCTAGCGCGTGCTCTTGTGGGAACAGACAGGGTGACAGGGTGTTATGAGGAATTTTGTCATAGAAAAGTCCAATACTACCTAATATTTAAAAGAGGCCTGAATTTCTAGAATCCTCCATTCAGCCTCCCCAGAGCTGTAGGGTGGAAGGCCGACAGAAGCAGCAGGCAGGTTGAGAGGCAGAGCACGGGCAGCCTGAGAAATTTCTGTCCCTCAGGAGAGCTAAGCAGTTGGCATTGTCAAACCAATGCTCTTCAAGTTTTGGGTCAGCACTTATCAGCAAGAGAGGCTCAGTGCCATCTTCCAGACGGGCAAAGGAGGCTCACTGGTGGTTGCCAGCCTCCCCGTCGCCCACGGAAGTTCAGCCCCACACTGCCTGCTTCACCAGCACAATAGAAGCCATCCACGTAGTCACACCCAGCCGTCTCCCAGGCAGCGCAGGCATCTTTTGTTTCTGCCCCTCCCCGCGTGGCTCATTAAGTCTTCCACACTTCTTCAGAGGAGTCTTGGTAAATCCACTTTTCCTTAGCCCGTTATGCTTTCCCTGATACTTCAGTGCTGCTTATGAGGGGAGCTGTGTTCGCAGCCTGACTTTCAGGACCTCTTCCAGCTTCAGGATACACTGCGTATCTACTTCCCACAGAGGGAGCAGTGACAGTGCCATGGAGGGAGCGGTGGGGATTCCTGACACCTGGCCCTTCTTGAGGTGTGAGCTCGGAAGAAGAAAAACCATGAAATAGTGGAAGAAATCCGCTTCGGTTTCCTTTGACACAAGGCCATAGAGAGAACTTAAAATTTGACTTCTCCCCCATAGAAGCCGAGCAGGCAGTGTGAGGCTGGAACTTGGTCTGAAGAAGCGTGGGGAGGTTGTGCAGACCTCACGTAACTGGGCGCACACTGAGTGGAGCCAGCTCTGCCCCATCTGCTCTCTCACAAAATGGCAGTCATTGAGCTGGAAACCCAAGGGACTGAGGGAGTCAACTGGAGTAGAGAGGGTGTTGGCCTGGGATTTTGCCTCCATTTCTTCATCTGGAAAATAAAGGGGTTTCATTCGTTATTCACGAGAGCCCTCCACCCTAATCATAGAAAATAACTGAAAAAAAGGTTCATAAACTTTTTTAATACATACAAGGATATTTTACAACTGAGGTTTCATTTACTCTGGTATTTGTCTCCAGGAATGAAGCCATGTCTTATCTTATCTGAAACACCCATTAATGTCTTAGTGTTTATTTGTACCAATTGCATGGAAGTAAATACCACGAATTTACGTAAATTCATCTCTCGCTCTGTGTTCCTGTCATCTCATTCATATCCTTGAAGGAGAAAGAGCATCCTTACGGGACAGATTTACTGTGCTTACAGCACTTTCTCAGCTTGAAAGTGAGAGAAGTAAACATATTTCTGGTATTTTTAGTTAATCTGTTGTAGATTATGGTTTGACCTTTCGCCTTTGTTCCAGGACAAAGCCTGGAGAGAAAAGGTTCAATGACCCTGAATATTGTTGTCTTATTTTTAGAGTTCTTGATATGAAACTATTGTTTATCCCTCTGGATACATGAAAAAAAAGCCAAAACAGTTTACAAAAGCAAATTTGGAAAAGCCTTCTTTTACATCCCTGTTGTCTGTGACAATTTTGCCTCCATTTTGCCTCCTGGATTTTTTCATCCAATTTGGCAAAAATGGAAAAACCAGTATTTTTGCTAAGGGGTCTGATGAAGGCTAAGGATATACCAGGATTCAGCATATTTACAGGAGATAGAAACATTTTCCAGGTGCTTCTACTTCCTGAAATTTGACTCCCAATTTTTAAAATGAAGATTACTCTATCACACTTAGAAATACATAGTTTCTGGTCAAAATACCAATCTCTGTCCTCCTGTACTTCTGACAGTATCTGAAGATCTGTACAAGAACTTCCTGACCTTGGAGCATCTCATCTGTTACAGCTTCCAGGTGGCTAAGGGCATGGAGTTTTTGGCATCACGGAAGGTGAGACCATGCATCCCTTCACGGCACAGATTTGGAAGTTAGATGTCCAGGGCTAGCCATCGACGTTTGCTTGGGACTGCAATTCATTCACCACTCCTGGGACTATTAAAAGAGCGCTACTGAGGAGGCCCCATTTCTGCTAAATAAGAGGGTATTAGAATGTCATGAAATTAATTCATGTGATGAATACTTACTGAGCATCTCCCAAGGGCAGGCGGTGTTCTCAGCACTAAGGATACTGTGTGAACAAGTAGGCAAAACTCTCCACCTTCATGGAGTTGACATCCTAGTGGGTGGAACAAACAATAGAGCAAGTGAAATGCCTGGTGGGGTAGATGGGAGTGAGCGCTGTGGAGGAAAATAAGCAGGGAAGAGTTACAGAGTAGACAGGAGTGGTATGTTTGTATGTTCGTATGTCTTTGTGTTTGTGTACGTCAATTTTAAACAAAGTGGACATGGAAGGCTTTAGGGGAATGTGACATCTGAGTAATGACCTGGAAGAGGTGAGGGACGGAGCCTTGCAGATATCTTGGCACAGGAGAGTCTCCTTTTAATTTGTTTTACATTCATCTCCATCCATCAAAAAGTATTTGTTAGTCGTATAATTAGAAACCAGGAAGGACAGGCTTTAGATGAGAGCGATTAAAAGGGCTAAAATTAGAAAAGTGGGCCAAACAAAGGCTGAGGTGAGTACGTGACAAGTTACAAACATTCCGAAGGTTGTAAACACCGTGGAGGGAGCAGGTCGCCCCCTGGAAAGAGTAAAATGGATGGTTTGACATCAAACTAGACAAAATTGAAATTAAGTTTCAGGAGAAATTGTCAGTTGACAGAAGGCATTTGCTGCAGCCTGCTGTGGGAAGAAAGACTTAAAGTTCTGGTTTCTTTTCTAAATGAGTTGAATCCCTACCCATTTCTTTTTCTGAGGTTTAAAGCTTTTCACAACTTCCAGAGTCTCAGGATCTCAGGTTTTTCTGCCTGGGAGCTCTTGTCTTCTCTCTCCCAAAAGGAAGGGAGAGACGTGGGATCTTATCAGATTTTCCCAAAGAGAAAGGCCCTTCTTGAAGATTCTAATTTTATTTTATTAATATTACTTTTTAGGGCCAGAGTCTCCCATTTAGGAAGGGTTCCTTTGATGGGAAAGGGAATAGGGGGTGGGGTGGGGGGCAATCCTGTAACTTCCCTTGTGTCTACTATCTGATTTCTTTTTTCTCTTTTCTTTTCTTTTTCTGTCGTTGAAGGAAGTGCAGCTTTTATTTCAGGGCACCAGTCTCATATGAGGTCACTTATATGCAGAATCTTTAAAAAATGGTACAAATGAACTTATTTACCAGCTGATTTCTTGAGTAGCACCTGGTTGCTGGCTTGAAAAAGGAAGCTCTTTGGTTGGGGGCAAAGTAGAAAGGACTGTGCTTTGGGGAAGCTCCTGTCTTGCTCAGTCATGCCAGACAGTGTGCTTTTGAACGTGCCTCATTCAGAGGGCAGTGCTATACAGACGCGCAGTGGGGGGCGGGGGATCTGCTATGCCTGGCTCGCTCAGCACTCCTGCACTGACTTGAGTTCTCACCATTTCTAAACGTTCCCCTAGACTCCTGTGCTCTCATAAATCTTTCAGGTGCAGGAAGTCAGATGAAATTAAGGGATACAAAAATAAAAAAATAATAAGAAGAAGAAGTTAAGGGATACAGAGAAGAGAGAAACTGAGGAACAGGCAAGAATAGAAGGAAAGCCATGGAGAATTTGGTTTCCCTTTGTAGTGCACCAGAGAATCCACTTGACAGGTGAGAGGCTGGACGTGCTTTAATCAACATCTCTGACAATCCAGCACTTTGAAAAGAGAGGATGAGCACCCCCTGGGAACTGTTTCTCAGAGCTGGTCCAGCTTCAGTTACATATGGAACGGAGAAACCGACAAAGGGCACCAAACCAAGAGAAGCCCCTTGCTTCTGATTTCCATGCATTCATTCAAAATAAATTGCACTCTGGGGCCTCCTTAGGATAACACGTTTTAACCGTATATGGCGCCAGGCAAAAGGGACGTGTGGATGTGACCAGAAACACATTCTTAATTGTGTCCAAGAGAAGTCTATTTATGACTCCATCATCAGGCTATAACTTAATTATTTAATTCCAGAGTCTTGGGCTGTTTATGGAATAAACAGATGTGTGTCTCAATGAAACTCACAGATTTTTTTCCTGAAGTGTTGATAAAAGATGTTAACCCAGCGCTTGTTAACCAGTTGGTTTTCTGGTGTGGGTTTTTTAATTTTTTTAAAGCATGAGGTCACAACAGATGTAGAAGAGATCAGCTATGCGAGCTAGTCCTAACGTACACAATTCTTTTTGCAGTGTATCCACAGGGACCTGGCGGCACGAAACATCCTCTTGTCGGAGAAGAACGTAGTTAAAATCTGTGACTTTGGCTTGGCCCGGGACATTTATAAAGACCCAGATTATGTCAGGAAAGGCGATGTAAGTTTCAAAGATGTACCCAGTGATCTGTTAACTTGCAGAATTCAAACTTCTCTTAGCAAGCTGTGTTCAGAGACAAAGGAAGTTTTTTCTTTGGATATTTGCTGAGTTGGGTTCTCACCCCTTGTTCCCTATGCCCATAGGCTCGCCTCCCTTTGAAATGGATGGCCCCGGAAACAATTTTTGACAGAGTGTACACAATTCAAAGTGACGTGTGGTCTTTTGGTGTCCTGCTCTGGGAAATATTCTCCTTAGGTAAGTCTCTTCTCTTTGTCCCTCCATCCATACTCCAAATAGAATGATAAATGTCTGTGGCTCCAGTGTGCTTTTCCCTTGCCTGTATTCTGCCTTTATTGAGTGAAACTTACTTGGAGGCTTTGGGTTGTAAAATGTAAAAAAAAGAAAGAAAAGAAAAGCAAAGAGAAAGGAAGGAAAAGAGGTATGTATGGGAAGAAGGTGTTCCAGAATCAGGAATCAGGCTCAGGGCGTTCTGCAAGAGAAAAATCCAATCAGTCATGTCCCATTCCTGTTTTATTCTAGGTGCTTCTCCATATCCTGGAGTAAAGATTGATGAGGAATTTTGTAGGCGATTGAAAGAAGGAACTCGGATGAGAGCCCCTGATTACACCACACCAGAAATGTAAGACTTTACTAGCATGTTCCTATCCTTCTTTGCTCACAAAAAGTCGCCCTGCTGAGAAGACTGTCTGTTATATAAACCTCATTTGTGGCCCAGTTTGTGTCTTACTTCTCCCTTGAGGTCTTCTTTGATAATGTCAAGTACAGAGTCATCCTTCTTGAAATGACAGCACTTTATCTCTACCAGCCAGTCAGTTTTTATTGGATGTTGATTTATAACGTCTCCTTTTCTCTACACACGTGATGCTCCAAGTGTAGGGCTCTGTGTCTTACCCAGTTTCCTATCTCTATTTACCATCACAGTGGACTTTTTAGAAATGTTTGCTCATTCATGTGCTGCTTTTCAGCATCAGATCAGGAGGAAGGAGGCAGTTAATGACATCAGTGTTTTGCTTCTCTAGGTACCAGACCATGCTTGACTGCTGGCATGGGGAGCCCAACCAGAGACCCACGTTTTCAGAGCTGGTGGAACATTTGGGGAATCTGTTACAAGCTAACGCTCAGCAGGTTTGTGACCTCCATCCAAGAAATTTCTACAAAGAGTTCTTAGGTGTCAAGGGCTCTTCTGCTGCCTAGACCTTCTCACAGCCACCACGCCAGCCTCTCAGCCACCACGCCAGCCTCTCAGCCACTGCACAGGGAGCTACAATTCTTCCCAATCGGAGCAGTAATGCTTCTCTAAAAGCTATAATTACCCTTTAGAGAGATGAGATCCTACTTCAAACCTGGGAGCTGATCACTTTTATTTTTACCAATGTGTATTTTGGTAACCAGTAAAAATACATACTGATGTATACATTTGATAAAATATTGATGTATTTTAACTTTAGAAGAGTGTATCTCATATTCATAAAAACCAAAACCAAAACCAAAACCAAAACCAAAACCTAGTTGATACACTGGGTATCTCCAATGGACAGAATTTCAAGGAATTTTAAATACATTCTTCAGGCAAAAATACATTTGAACCCTGCAAAATAGATGGCTTTTTCCTTGATAAAATCCCAGGCTTCCGTAACTTCCACTGGAGGATTTTAGAGATGTAGCCTTTCGCATTAGGAAGTTTTTAATCTCTAGTCACCACCTCTTACTACAGTGAATAGAAACCAATATCCTCCTGCTTTTGACCAGCTGGGGGACAATGGGTCAAACCTGTCTTTATCAATAAACCTTCCAGACATTTAACGGCATCAAATTGCCCTTTCTTTCTTTCTCTTGATGAAATAATGTTAAAGTTGTGCAGCCTTTTCTTGGAAGACCCATTTCCCTGCACATTTATTGCTTTTCTTTAGACTGTCATCAGTCTTCCCATTGCCTTGGAGTGTAGAGGCTAAAACTGGATGACATGCCCTTTCAAGGACCTGGCTCCTGTCGACAGGACTTGGTGAAGAAATGATTTCCCAGCTCCACATGTTCGTTGTAGCCATCTCTCTCTGTGGTCCCCTTACCCATCTTGGTTATTGTTAGTTCCTTTAATATCCTTTCATATACACGTCCCTTTCAAGTGCCCTTCTGTTTTTGACAAGCCATTTTTAAAGTCGTCTTAAAGTTTTGCCTTCAGCTATGAAAGCCACGTTCCCCATAAACAAGAAGCCCCCATGGCCTTTGTTTTTCATGAAAAGGCTCTTGAAGGACTGAAGCCATAACAACAGCGCTCTGTGTTTGTTGTTTCAGGATGGCAAAGACTACATTGTTCTTCCCATCTCCGAGACTTTGAGCATGGAAGAGGACTCGGGCCTCTCTCTGCCTACCTCACCTGTTTCCTGTATGGAGGAAGAGGAAGTATGTGACCCCAAATTCCATTATGACAACACAGCAGGAATCAGGTACTGTATCTGGTCCACATCCCTGGCGGGGTGGAGAGAGGGCTTCCAGGTCATCTTGGGGAGGGGGATGGAGGAACGGACATTGGATAAAGCTGCTGCATTTCCCTTGCACGTTTAACCTTCACCCTGAGAAGTGCTCCTTGAAGAGGGTCTGGGTAGGTGAGTATCCCTCCATCTGTGGTCCACATTGCTGCTGAAGCTCTTCCTTTCAGAATCCTAGGCCCTGCAGCTGCAAATAACTGGAATGCCACGGTTTGTTAATCTCCAGCAAAAGAGACCAGTTTTACAAAGACATCTGTATTTAAATTATCCCCATGTACTCTTTTATTAATATGAATTAAATAGCTTAGGAAAGATTCAGGAAGGAAGAGTTCTTTGCATCTATGAAAACACACTTCTGCCTCTCTGGCTAGGATACAGGATGCCACGGGGATGCATCCTGAATTAGACTGGACAGTGCATCTTTAGAAGCCCCTCCCAAGTCTGATTTTCAGCATTTTATTTGCATAATGGAACTTCTGGGCTTATTTAAAACATATGCACTGCAGTGTTTTCCTGATAAGTAGCGGGGTTTGTAAAGGCAGCTTTCTTTTATTCTCTCCCAGCACCTGTGCATAAGGAGAGAGTTGAACTGGCTTCTACAATACGGTATTAAAATTGCCTTTTACTAAGCCTGGGACTACTTCACTTTGCTTTGTTGCTGTTCCCACCCCTTTGGGTGTTTTCCTCCTGCAACCGGACCCCTGACAGCGTGGGCCCAGCCTGGCCGCCCCCTGCCGTGTGTGCTGGGGCTGTAGGGAGGGGCACGGGGCTCCAGCACTTGGCCAGGTTGCCGGGTGGCAGGTGGGAGTCACCCTGGAGAGTTGGGCTCATGGAGGCACACAGAGAGGACAGCAGGGACACTGTCATGAGACAGGAGAAAGCTCCGAGCCGTTAGAAGCCAACTAGTGAGCTGCCCATTCCGTTTGTGTCAAGAACTCTCAGCTTTTTCCCAAGAACTTTTCCTTGTGTTATCAGATGTGGCCAGCACTGGGCAAGGTAGAAACTGTTATCTTTTATGATGTGGATGTTAAACACGAGGCTCAGATCAGTTACCCGGGGAGAATACAACACTGTGGTTAAAGGTCCAGATTTTAGAGTTAGAGAGAACTGGGTTGGGTTCCCAATCTGCTCTTTGCAGCTGTGACCTGGCACAAATCTTCACTGTGAGCCAGGTCAGGATGCTGGTGTTGTACAAAAATGAGTACTTTGAGGATTACATTGTATAATGAATTTCTGAGTGTCTGGCACCTGGAGACGACTCAATCAGTGATAGCTATTAAGTGAGCTGTTAAATTCACATCCCTGGGATGAATCCAGTTCCTCTGATATCTAACTCCATACCATGGAGGAGGCCTCAAAGAGAAAAAGTAATGAAATGAAAACCCATCATTCCACTCCCACATTTAAAAAGTCCTAGTTCAAGTTCAGCTGGCCTTCCGGCGTGGTAATGATTCCCACAGCACCATTACCTTCTGCTTTATCGCAATGCCATTCGATCATGAGCTATGTTCCTTGGGTTTTCTGTGACCAGGTGGGGTGAGGACCCAAGCCGGCAGCCTCTTGGCTCACTCGGGCGCTTTGCATATGGTGCCGAGAGTCGATGAAGTCATGCGTGTGTAATGGAAGTGCCAAATGTGAGGCTGGCTCTGGAACAGGGCTGCTAGCATTTATCCCCAAAAGCGTGGACAAATGTGACACCACCCTCCCAACATAGGCCTGGCTCTGATTTTCTGTCTGTGATTTTCGAATTGGTCTTTCCAGTCCAGTTTCTCTTTTATCCAGCCATAATTTGAAAAATAAAATGGAAATCAGAGCCTTATGTCTGCTTCCCCACTTAACCCCCTCCACCTTTCCCCCTTTTTATAAAAATAAGAGACCATGGTCACATTTTAATCATCTGGGTTAAATGAAAGGCAAGATCGAGGCGTCTGCACACGGCACATTTCATTTTGATGCTCTCTTGTGGTCCTGCTTCCCTGGGGAGGAAGAGGTGAGGCTGGGGTGACTCTCAGGGGACTTGTTCACTCATCTTTCACATTTCCTGTCAAGGAGAAAAGCCAAGGAGTCTCTCACTTGCTTCCTCCTTATAATTTTCAGTTTCATTGTGTTATAAATAGAGCTGGACAGAGACATCACAGTGGGAGCCGACCTCATGATTTTTTGCCCCTTTAAACTATTTTAAAAATATTTGTTCAGCATGTATTTAGAGAAGAGGCTGAGTGGTAGGTGGGGGAAGGGTGAAGAGGAAGGCCCACTAGTGTCTAGACTTAGCTTCGTCTCTAATTTCCCCTGTGGATCAGCTCTAGCCCCAGGTTTGCATGCTTCTTGCAAGAAAACACATCTTTATTGGACTCATCTTTCTTGGAGGGCAGTTTGGGGACCATCTGCGGTTGCTCCACCATTTCTCCTGGGAGTTTCACCTCCCACTCCAAGCAGCTTATCAAAGATTTCTTTTCAGTTCTCTCCCAAAGAAAGGTTCTGGCACATATCTTTTTTTTTTTCATTTTGGTTAATTGCTAGTGATGATTTAAATGGTCCCTGTAGATTGATGCCTGAGACGGCCTGTTGGCTAGATGTCCCTGAATTTGGCTCTCATATTAAACTGCTTGAAGTGAAGCTGTCCTTTCTCCACCCTTTGTCTGTCTCACAGCCCACGGTCCCCCTCCCCCCCACCCTCTCTCACTGCGCTGTCAGTGCACACGTGGGTGAGAGCAGGGCTGGGCGCACACTCGGTGCTTCATAAAGACTTGCATAGTCATACCCACTGCTCTCTTCTTCCTCCTCTTCCTGATGCTTGTCCAAGGGAGTCCATGTGGAATAAGGTGAAAACAAACAAAGCCAACCCCACGTGGGCTTCAGAGTCTGAAGACTTAAGTTTGAGTCCCTGTTCTGGCCATTTCCTCCCTAAGGCCTAGCTTCCTCATCTCCAGATAGGAAATAATAATAATAATAAGCCCTGTTTTGTAGTTTTCTAAAGAGCAGATGCAACGATGTCCATGAAAATGCCCTGTCAACTCTGAAGGGCCAAGCAGTGTTGGGAATTACTGGGCTCAGAAAGGAAGGAGCTGGCTGTTCTAGGGCAGCCGCATGACTGTCCCAGCTCACCAACTCCAGCTGATGCTACATCCCAGATACCTCTGGGATCTGTCTACTCCTCCAGACCCTGTGGGCATCACCTTTCTTTAGTCAGGCCACTCCTCCTCCTCCTAGATTAGTGAAACCACCCCCTCATGGGTCTCATGGCCTCTGGTCTTACCCTCCTCAACCCAGAGTCATCTTTCTAAAGGGCATAGCTGACTTTGTCAATCTCCTGCTTAAAATTCTTCAGCGGCTGCTCATTGGCCTCAAGATAATAATTCAGATATTCCAATAGGTGATTTTGGACAAGCTCCTTAGCCTTTCTATGCCTCAGTTCCTTATCTGAAGTTGGGAGAATAATAGCCATCCCTAGAGAGGCCCCGTTTGTGGGGACGCATGAGACAGTGGTTGAGGAGCACTTAACACAGTGCCTGGCACGTGGGGGAGTTTCAGTAAAGGATTCCTGGATAAGTGAATGAATGAATGATTGACTACGGTACCAATACATTTTGATAGTCACCACTTTCAGGGACTGGACGTAGAAGTAGGTGCTTCTCTCTTCTTGTATATCATGTTCTCTGTCCTGTGGAGTTTCCTGAGTGAGGACGTCACTGGTGAGCCTTACTCTCTTCTATGTAAGAGGAGGAACCAGCCTCCTGGGGCAGGGAAGGGAGACTGGGCTTCCGTTATCGAAGTACACTGGGATAAGAGTGAAGAGTGAATTTGCTGTCCCTTCCTGGGAAAGGACTTCCTTCTCTCCACTTGGGCTGATTTTAACAGAATCACTCAGACTCACCCAAAGCCACATGGCAGGGAAGGAGCTCTCCTAGGGAACAGGTGATGTGATGTTTGACAAGTCCTGTTCTTTGGACTCCTGAAAGAAACTGGTACCCTTTGAAATGCAAAGGAGGAAAACAAGCTTTGATGGCGTGTCGCTCTAAGGCCCACTTACCATCCACCATTAATCACGTCAGTCATCCTCCAGGTATCTTTGTGAGAAAGGGAAGGAAAGCCATTGCCAGTACCTTTTAAAGATGGGGCAACAGAGATATAGAAATAATTAATGACTTTCCCAAATCTGTGTCTTCCGGGATAGACTTAGAAACAGACAAACTATCTCGCAACTCTCAAACTACAGCCCCAACTCTGTGAGCTGAACACAGGAGACTGTGAGACTCAGCCCACCTCCCTTCCACCCAGTAAACTTCTGTTACTCGGAGAATGAGAAGATTGTCTCCAGACCCTTTTGGGTTCAGCATCCTTTACTGAACCCAGGTGAGACTCAGTGAGCTCTGCAGGTGTTTCCTCTGGCCATCTTTCATTGAATGGTTGCTCTGTGAGCATTGTCTAGCACAACTTGCCTAGAAGATGGCCAGAGAGACGTGCAACGCTCGGTAATATGCAGGGAGCTCAGTGGAGGAATCGCAGGCAATCAGGAAGCCAAGCAGAAGGCAGCTGATCTTGAGTCTGCTTGTGTTGTCTTCAGTCCAGGCCTGGACCTCAGAAGTATGATTCAAAGGAAAAGCGGCTCTTCTAGGCCCTTCAGTTATATTATACTTTTAAATGGACTTTCACAGGAAATTAAGCCTTCAGTGTGTGTGCAGGCAGAGAAAGATTTTTGTTTGGTTTGGTTTTTCTTTTTCCAGAGGATGTTTTGAAGGTGGCTATTAAACTTGTGGTTGAAAGATAATGAACTTAGGTATCTCTTGTGGGATCTGTAGCCAAATATACCACCACTCAAATATAAATATTTGTTCTTTTGCAGTCAGTATCTGCAGAGCAGTAAGCGAAAGAGCCGGCCTGTGAGTGTAAAAACATTTGAAGATATCCCGTTGGAAGAACCAGAAGTAAAAGTAATCCCAGATGTAAGTACATCTTTTAAAAATAGTCTCAGGAATAATACAGAAGATGAAACGTTAGCTAGATAAATATTAGCCTAAGCATTAGAGTCTTGGAGCCTCGTTATAAGGCTGTCCTTGAGGGCGTGTGTCATGGGGTCATTATAGACATGGAACTTCTTGGGCCCCCTTGGTTTTTCCATAAGTGAAGCCCCTGGCAGAAGGTTCCAGACAGTCCAGGTTCATGCCCACTTCCACTCAAGTGTGAATAGTATCCTTGTGGAAAGAGGGAAGGAAACGGGTCTTCTCAGCTCCTTCATCCTAAGTGCCTCTCTTCTTCCAGGCCTGGGTCTATTTCTTGGAAGCAGTTGCTTCCTCCTGTAGCCTGCATGGTTCTTGGGTCACGATACCTTTTCCTCCCTCTACAGAACTTCGGAATGTGGTCCGATAGATGGGTTAGGAAATCAGTTTAATTAAGGAGTTGGTCAGTGGACAAGCTCAATCAACTGTGCCATCTCATTGTCTCTTAAAAAAGGACAACCAGACGGACAGTGGAATGGTTCTTGCATCCGAAGAGCTGAAAACCCTGGAAGACAGAACCAAATTAGCCCCATCTTTTAGGTAAGGCTCAGCTAAAGAGAAAAGACAAATTTCTATAGAAAGTTTTGGAAGGCACTTAGGACTTTCAGTGTAGGTTCAGAGCTTTCCCTCTTTGTGTCTGTCCGTTGGGCAAACTGGCATCAACCTAAGAAAGAGGGGAACCAAATCAAATTAACTGGCAAGACTAAAAAAGGAATCTGAAATCAGAGGATTTGATCAATTTTTATGAGAATTTGTGAATACTAGGGAATTTCTGGGCATCTTTACTATGGTTAGTGGTTTGTGTGGTACTGGCTTAAAACAAAGAGGTCATTGGATGTGATCCTTAACACTACCGAGTTGATTGACATCTTTGCAGACTCTGAAGAATTTTGAAACTTGTACAGAAATGGGCGCATCTGTTCTTAAGAAGTATGATGTACAAATAAGCCAATATCTATTTGTTTAAAGTAATCAAATACTGCTGACTGGATTATTAAGTACTTAATTGTGGGGAAAATACTAAACTTGGCTTTGAATATCATTTCCCCCATGTAGTTCCATAGGAATTTGTAGTTGTTTTGCATAGATGTACCTGCTTTTAACTTAACAAATAAATGAGACACTATGTTTGTAAGAATAATAATATACAGGGTAGTTATTTATTTGCTAGCAGGTTTACTCTAGGTGAGAATAGAAAAAAAATTTGATCTACTTATAATCTAACTGTTGGATAATATGGGACCACTCTTGGTTACTGAGTGATGCTCGTGTAAAAACAACCCCCAAAACATTAAAACACTTCATTGTACAATTTTATTATTTGCCTTGGGCCCAAAGTAAGATATTGTGAGAGCCAATCATATTTCATTCATTGATTCAAAGTATATTCTTTCAGCAGTGACTGTGTACCACGCCATTATTTGAGACTTAAGTCCATTTGATTCAGATTTGATTGAAAGAAAAAAATGTATTTCTAGTTATTTGAAATAACTTTTAACCTGTATATGAGTACAGAGTTAATAAAAATCCTTTTTTGCAATTTTTAACATGAATAACTTGCTAAAACACCTATTAAGGGGGGAAAAAACACCACACCTCCAAATGGCTTAGGGTTCATACAACCTACACTAAACTACAAAAAGCTTTTTTAAGCTTTTTTCTAAGCTTTGACGTGATTACCATCTGTCACGATCCCACGCCATTGAAAATGTTCTCTGGTTGCTGCTGAGTGATCCACGTTCTCATTCCTTCCAAAGAATGTGGGTTTGATGAGTAAAGAGCAATTTTGACATGTCTGGCTTGATTGCACACACATGATTTGACTTATTAAAGTTGCTTAAGAATTTTATTAACACCATCCACATGCCTTGTAATCCCCTAATTGACAGTGGGGGGAAAGCACCAATGGACTTGTTGAGCATCCCAATTTCCTTTCCCGTCATGAAAGAGCCCTTTGGCTCCTATCGTTGTATACAAACTTGTCAATCTGCAAGGCTATAAAAATGTTCCATTGGTTGGAGCCTTTGCATAACTCGGGAGAACTGCCTTTCATCTCATCTCAGGCTTGAAAGACTTGGACCTGAATAAGAGGGCTTATCTGAAACTACAAATTCATGCTGGTACCTGAAAATAGACATTGTTTGAGTTAACCTGATATGTTGACTAACAAGTGGTGGAGACAGGGGCTGGTGTCTCCAGGAAGATTACAGCCCACACGGGGTTGGGGATGGGGTTAGGGTAAGATACAAAAGAACCACCTTCTCTCTGCCAACTCACTTAGCTGCCCTTTCTTCCCCAGTGGACTGATGCCCAGCAAGAGCAAGGAGTCTGTGGCATCTGAAGGCTCAAACCAGACAAGCGACTATCAGTCTGGGTATCACTCCGATGACACAGACACGACCGTGTACTCCAGCGAGGAGGCAGAACTTTTAAAGCTGGTGGAGATGGGACCGCAAGCTGGCAGTGCAGCTCAGATTCTCCAGCCTGAGTCTGGGACCACACTGAGCGCTCCTCCTGTTTAAAAGGAGGCACTTACATCCCCCCTTCCTGGAAATCACATGAGAGGTGCTGCTCAGATTTTCAAGTGTTGTTCTTTCCACCACCAGGAAGTAGCCACATTTGATTTTCATTTCAAGAAAGAAAAAAAAAGAAAAAAAAAAAGACCTTGCTGAACTGCAGGGAGCCAGTCTCCTAGGCATTTCCTGAGAAGATGCTTGTGACCCAAGAATGTGTTTGTGTCTTCTCCCCTATTGTTGACCTTATTCTTTTTTTTTTCATTCATTTAAAAAGCATGTATCATGCCCCCTACTGTGGGTCTCCCCGTGAGTTACAGCAAAAGATGTTCAAGACATGGCGTCATCGTCCAAGAAGTAGCAGTACCTGGGGAGTCGACACCTGGACGATAAATCAGGCAATGGAAGTGCTTTAGGTGTTGAAGATGGGAAAGACTTTTAGGGCTGAGTCCATGTAAGAAGCTTTGTTTAGGATGTGGGTCCCGAGCCACGTGTTACATGGCGGGTTTGGACGGATGGAAAGGAAGATGCTGGCTGGCTTAGAGAGCGCCGCGTGCCTGGTGCTGGCTCTGGTGGGGTGGGCGTGGGGTCTGTTAGGAACCGTCAAGGCTTCAGACAGGCGACTGGTTTTAGAAGATTGCGTGCTCTTCCCACTGGGGCCAAATCAGAGTTCCCTGCGCTGTTTCCAAAAACTCCTAATGAGAGTTCCTTCCGGACTCTTACGTGTCTCCTGGCCAAGCCCCAGGAAGGAAGTGATGCAGCCCTGGTTCCTTGTCTCCCAGGCTGATCCTTGATTCAGAACTGCACAAAGAGAGGACATGCAGATGGAAGCTCCCTGGCGCGGCGAAGGTTTCTGGCTGTATAAACCAGCTCCGGCTTCTGGACGGATACGCACTTATCTGTCCTGATGTGACACGTCTGAGCCTGAATGCAGTAGGTCTGTGTCAAGCTGTGGTGTCAAAGCTTTGGGAAGGATTTGACTCTCTTGTTCCTTCTCCCCTCTCCACTCCCTTCAGTATTTTACTGAACCAGTCAGTATTTTAGAACTTTGGCCTCTACACCCTAGTAAAAGCCAATTTGGTTTTGTTCACCCTCCGAGTAATTATTAGCCAGATTTCACAGTTATTGTGTAGCCAAAGTTATAAACATCTTGTATTATTTAGACTTTTAACATGTAAAGCTGTTTCTACTGGTTTCTGCCCTTGTTCTTTCCTTTTTAAAAAAGAAAACGTATTTTTCGTTTGGTACCATAGTGTGAGATGCTGGGAACCATGACTATAAAACATGCTATGGCACATATATTTATAGTCTGTTTATGTAGAAACAAATGTAATATATTAAAACCTTATATTATAATGAACTTTGTACTATTCACATTTTGTATCAGTATTATGTAGCATAACAAAGGTCATAATGCTTTTAGCAGTTGTTGCCATTTTATTAAAAAAAAAAAGTGAAAAATGAAGGAATCCCTTTGCAAGATTGCGTGACTGTCCCTGTCACTTCTCTCACTTCTAAGCTGGAGGCGGGGGACTCAGACATCATCTCCAGGTGGCTGTTTTTTATTTTCATTGGTTCCCTTATTCTTCTTATAAAGGATATTTTCATAAAATGTTTATATACTTTATAATCCAATAAATGTATTCTTAGTAAAAAAAAAAATACAATGGTATAATACTATCCCAACTGTTTTGAGGGTGACTATTTCTGGCTTGAGGTGTAATTGCTTCTCCCCTCCACTTCTCCATTACACAAGTAATTCATGCGCACGCCCACTCACGTTCTATTCCGAGCACTTCTGAGATTCTGAAAACATGGACTGAGAGACACGTGATAGGTACTCTAACAGTATTTGTGGCCCTGGAGGAATCCCCGGGCCTGCTAGAATCACCAACCATGAAAATCAGGTGGTAAGAGATCCTGAGACAGGGGCCCGACCTCGCAGTGCAGGAAAGTCTGGGGCATATTTATTGTTTTTGATAATGTTTATGCTGTCCGTACAGCGTCCGAACCTCAGATCCAACACTACCCTTTTGAATGATCACTTTTGCCTGAATTCAGTGAGTGAAATTATCTAAAAATCATTGGCACCAAAAAGTAGTCCAATCTTTGTAGGATTTTTTTTTTATACAAGCCTTTGAAGTGTTTATATAGTCAGAGGATAGGCCTATCTTTTATTATTTTTTTAATATTTCCTAAGTTTTTAAAATCATATTGGGGAAGGTCTTCCCAATTCTTAACCCCAAATTCTAAATTATCTTCCTTCTTTTGATGCACTTAAATCCATTGGGGATTTATTTTTTTATATGGAGTGAGGTAAGGATCTAGCTTTGTTTTCCTCAAGCAGTGGTCAATCATGGCAGCATTGTTTATTTCTCTTTTCCCCTGTGGTTGGAAAATATACATTGTAGCATTTTCAAACCCTGTCATCTCCTTGAGACATTCCCCACAACTTTATGATGGAAGAGAGGGTAGCTCCAGACGTCTGTGCTTCCTGGGGCTGCACTTACAGACTGGGCCACTAGCTGGAATTAGCAGAGTAGGGTCTTCTGGCAGATGTCATTAAACTGTGCGTCAGGCCTCTTGGTCCTATCTTTCCCATTGTTCCAGTGTTGTCCAGTGAATGAACAGAAGAGGAGTCTAAGCTTTTCAAGATGGAGAAGACCTCACAGAAATACAGAATTTCCTTCATTTTAGGGAAAAGAGATTCTGTTGCTCATAACAGCCCCTGGCGCTGTTTCCAATGCCAGGAATTTGGATTCAGTTGAAACTTTGCACTTTATGAAGAAATGTTTTCAGCAGCTCAGGCAGAATGATTGGAGGTGAAGTTTGGCCCTCTCCTTCTGCTCTCTTCTGTCTTCCACACCCCTCTCCCCCTTTCTTAGCTCCTTTTCACTCCTCATTTGCCCCTGTATTGAAGAGAAGTTTGTGGTTTATTATTTTTCTTTTTTCTTTTTAATGGAGGTACTGGGGATTGAACCCAGACCTCGTGCATGCTAAGTATGAGCTCTATCTCTGACCTATACCCTCCCCCACTTTGTGGCTTTTTAAAGTGCTCCCTGCATAGTTTTATTTTCAAAGCTTTCACTTGGAGGCATTTGGTGTGTTTTAGGTGAGGCCACACTGTCTCCCCTTGGCTCCTGGCCTCTCTCATTCTGTCCCTTGACTTGCCTTGTTCTTCTCCCTCCTCTCAAACTCCTCTGTCCCTTGGCCTTCTGTTTCTCTCTTTCCACTAAACTTCTGCTCCTCTGAACCCTCCCACCTCCATGTCCAGCAGCCTTTCTCCTCAACCACATCACAGAAGAGATGAGAGCTATGGGAGGTTTAAGTTCATTACTCCCCAGACTAACTTTTCCTATCAATGCACATTCCTTTGTCTGCTTTAATGAGAGAAGAAAAGTAAAAATCTTAAACCCACAACTTTGTACTGAACCCAGTTTTCCTGTCTCCCTTAGTATGTCTTTCTTTCTACCTCTCTCAGATATTTATCACCAAGGTGATAAAATGTAGGCAAACCCAGAAAGCTAAAGCCTTTCAGAGAGGAGCTCTTCACACCCATCTTTTCGCATCTGTGTGCCCTCTTCCCTTAGGGGCAGTAGGCACGTCATGTCCGTGCTTTCAAGTGAGTGGTGAGCACAGATCAAAGGGGGTTCTAACCTGTTTTTATAAATTGCATTTTCTACATGAGTCTCTCCCACAGTGAGGGTTTAGATCTAAGCAAAAATCTGGGCAGCCTTTGTGAAAGCAGTTTTAAGT